CCGCCGAAGATATCTCGTTGAGTCTCGGGCATCGAGCGCGCCGCGGCCCGCGTCTGAAGCAGGACGGCGCCCGGACTGATGGGCCTGAGAATCCTGTCGCGCCAACGATGGAGGCGCGCCGAGAGCGTTATCTGGCCGCCGACGAAATGATCCTGGTCGCGCTCGCTCATGGCCTCCTGCCATAGCATCTTTTCGGTACCCTGCGGCAGCGCCTCCGACCCCGCGACCGGCGACATGTCCGAGTCGCCCTCGCCGATTGTCCCGAGCGTCCTCCGCCAACGAAGGGGCCTCGCGCCGCCCTTCTGCATCGTTTACTCGGGGGGCGGCATTGGCTCCCGACTGTAGGCGGCACAAGCACGCTGGTGGCGAGAGGTCTGGTGCCGACCCGTCTCGAGCCTGGCCAGCCACTGACCCGCTGCCCGCTGAATCCCCCGGCGCCGCAGGCCCTCGGACCCCGGAGCCCAAGAAAAGCTGCCGGCGTACTAATCAGGAAAGAACGGCACGTGGCACAGAGCCCCCCTGGCTGTCGCGGCCCTTCCCCGGGCCCCGGGCCCCGCGGCAGCCTCTGGAAGCGGGCCATCGGGGGGCTCAGCTCCAAGTCGTCGGGGACGCGTACGCGCGCGGCGCACGGCGGATGAGCGAGACCGAACGATGGCCAGGAGGACACCGGAACAACTCCTGGATCACCTTCTCGCGGCAGTCATCGACGGTCATCTCGCTGGCCACCAATGCGACCTCGGCCTCGATCATCTCTGGGAACTTCGCCAGCATGATCGGCGGGACTTGGCCCAACATCATGAACTAATTCGACGTCGCCGCAACCCGCGAGCGAACGGGGGGGCCTTGCCCGCCAGCCCGCGGCCGCCGATCCGCCCAAATGCCTGATGCCGCCCGGCGCTCAATGGGCCCCCGATCGATGCGCGCTGATAACCTCGCCACTTGAGTTTCCCCTGCAGGTTCTGCACGTCTGGGGCGCCGATCAAGCCCCGACCTGCCGCCGTGTTCACCAGCGCGTGGCCCCCTGCAGTCCTCGACGCAACGGCGGGCTTCTCCTGTCACGCAATGAGCCCAACCTGCGCCTCGACGGAAAATGAAGCCAGCGTCGTCGATGTCGAACCTCTCGTAATGCTCGAGCTCCACGTGTCGCGGCTGCCCTCTCCGCAGCTCTGCCCGTCGCGGGCCCCCGACCGCCTTCCCGAAGTGCCCCTGGCTGCTGGCACCCTCGGGGCTGAACGTGGCTAGGGCGGGCGCGAGGTCCGAGGTCTCCGCGACCGCGCCGGCGTCCGCCGCCGGGTCGGAGCCGTCGCCCCCGGAGAAGTAGCCGTCGACGGGCTTCGCGACCGCTGGATCCTCCTTCTCGCTGGCCAAAGCGTCTGACTTGGAACTGTCGGGCATCCGGTAGTCTTCGGCCCAATGGCCGCGATTGCCGCAGTCGGCGCGCCTCGCCCTCCTTAGACCCGCCGACGCGACGCGCTTGCACCCCCAGCGCGGCGCTCTCGCTGCGTCGAAGAACTCCCAGCGCAGGCGTTCAATAGTTTTCATTTTCCTGTCCGCGGCCAAGGTGCGTCGATTCCCCATGCCGAACTTCCACGATGATAGCTGCCAGAACGGGTATCGAATATCATTCGGACAGATCCTGTTGCTGCAGCGCCTCAGAGAGCACTGCTGGTCTCTCGTCGGGCGGCTCGAACGAGTCATCCAGCTTCTCGTAGTAGGACGCGGGCCCTAGCTCTGCCCTTGGGCCCGGAGGGGGAGACCATCTTCCCCGCGATCACGCGCCTGGAACCACTCATTCCTCACAAACATAGACTAGAGGCAACGCCTGACGAGTCGCACTGAATAGCTGGAGACCGCCAGCCAACGCGCGAGTCTGAATACTTTTTTCCTGCGGGCTGAGTCCGGCACCCTCCTCAAAGCACCGGGCTCTCACATCATCCAGGAGGGTCAAACCAAAAGTCTCCGCTTAATGAGATATTTGAGCGCCCCGTCGCACAACAAAACCTTTGATGCCCCCAGCGCGACGGACGCTAAAGCCGAATGGCATTTCTCTCTGTCGCGCGGTCTTTCTCCGCGCAGCGCCGCCAACTAGTCAAATAAACATGTTCCATCGTGGGCGCCCATGGGGGGTCTCACCACCTTGAACTTTAGCTTAATGTCCACAGGTCGCGTCGCAAGATTTCTTGCCCGCCCAGACCTCCTCAGCAGACCATGCGCGCATATACCATGCCGTGATGTTACTGCGAAGCAAATCCTTATGTTCGAAACCGAACCACGCTCCCGGCTTGGACTGCTCCACGAAACTGCCCTGGCTGTTCGCCCCCCAGCCGACGTCCCACCATTCGCTATGAGTCTCATCAGCTCAGTCCTCGCCAGCGCATTTTCCATCGATAGGAGACGACTCTTCAACCGTGCCTGCTGTCTGCGTCGCGGTCTCTGTCCAGACCAACCGCAAGCCCAGCCAGAATCTCAACGGATGTGTCCGGAGCGCCGAGGGCCGCGTGTCGAGCTGCTGATCGGTTCGTGTCGTCGTCGTCGTCCTGCTCTGGTCTGTCTGCGTCGTCGCTGTTCTGCCTCCTGCTCCGGCGCCCCTCTGTTGGGCGCTCTCCTCCCCCTGGTCGCCAGATCCGCTTCGCACTGTCACTGACTCATGGGGCTCGATGAGAGAAGGGGGCAAGAGGGACAACGGGCGCCATTCTTTACTGGGCACGCGAAACAATACACATAGAGCCCACAGGGCTGCGGAAAATCACGCCGAGCCACATCCCTAGGCCAAACCCCAAAGAGGGGGGAGCGAAGAGGCCCGAAGGGCCCGCAGGGCCCGAGCGGCCCGCGATGGCCGACGAGCCCAGCAGGGCCCTGCCGGGGACCTTCGGGACCAGGTCCGCGGGGAGTTTGGGCGACAGCGTGAAGTCACAACCATTGGGGCCTTCGGTGGAGCTCCCTATGGGGCCACGAACCGTGTGAGAGGTGTGCCGAACTGGGGGCGGGACGCATGTGAGCGCAGCAATTGGGGTATTCGGTGGAGCTCCCTGTGGAGCCACGGACCGCGTGAGGGCGTGTCGACGTGGGCGCGGGACGCATGTGGCCACGCCCACTGGGGACTTCGGCGGAGCTCTTTATGAGGGCACGAACCGTGTGAAGGGTGTGCCGACATGGGCGCGGGACGCATGTGAACGCAGCCGCCGCGGCCTCCCCTGAAGCTCCCTGTGGGGCCACGAAGCGCATGAGGGGTGCTCCGAAATCGGCGCGATATGCATTCAAACCCAACCACTGGGGCATTAGGCGTAGTTCCCGTATGGTGCCACGAACCGCGTGAGGTGTGCGTGTGTGTGGGTGTGCCGAAATCGTGCACATGCGAAGAGCCGAGGCACGCTGCTGATGATGGCGAGTGTGGAAAAATTGATGCTGGCGATGGAGGTGGTGATAAAGATAACGACGATGATCATGATGCTGATGATGGTTGTGCTGATGATGATGTTGATGTTGATGCTGCTGATGGTGATGAGGATGATGATGCCGATGATGAAGCCGATTATGATGACGCTGATGCTGACGATGCTGGTGATGATGCTGATGATGGTGACGATGATGATGCTGATGACGCTGCGAAGCGATGCTGCTGATGATAATGACAATGATGACAAAGATGATGATGACGGTGATGATGGTGATGATGATGCTGATGCTGCTAATGGTGATGCACTTTGCAGTTTGCACCGCGCGCTCAAGGTCCCCCCTGCGCCTGAGGCGGCGCGTCAAGCCGCTGAAAGAAACGCCACGCAAAGGCGCCGCGCGCGAGGCACGAAGAGATTGAGGTCAGCGCAGCTGGCGTGCGAGCGGGCGAACGCGAGCGAGCCATTCTGCCTTGCTGCACCGGCCTGCGCCCGCGAGCCAATCGGAACCGAGCAGTCGGGCGAGGTCCATCTCCCATCGCCAGGCCTTGAACATGCGGCCATGCGTCTGGGATCCGTGCTCGCGTTTGAGCCAGGCCACTGTAGCAGATGGACAGGCACAAGCTGGGCGGGTGTGGCGTTTGGCAGGGAAGCCTGGCGGGCTAGGTGTCCAGCCCAGTTCAGCCTGCGAAGATCCACGTCAAAGTCCCATGTCGCGCGGGACTGGAGGGCGGCAGAGGCGCGGCGCCATCGGCGGCGACAGAAGTCCTCTGGCGTCTCCTCATTCCATCTCTGCGTGCAAATCAGCCGAGAGAACATTCTGCTGTGCGTGACTCGAATTAGATTGAGATCCCTGACCGCGGGGCACCGCGATCCCGGCATGCAGAGCAAGACGGGCTTGATGGCCCGCTCGAGCAGCTTCGCGGCCTGCTGCCAGCGGCAGGCGCATCCAGGCAGGGACATCTTGAGAGCGCAAATGGCCCCCCAGGAGCGAGCTACCCTGTGCTGCGCGCCCTTCCAAGACCTTCCATCGAAAGTGAAAATAGAGCCGAGGCAAAGACAACCCTCGGCACGAAGCGCGCGCGGCAGGACACCGTCTTTGACCATCATGCGGTAGTCGCCGAACTCGTGGCCCAGCGCCGTCGCGCCCCAGGTCAAACCCGAGGGAGGTGCGCACCAGCCGCGAGCTAGCAAGATGCGCCGCCAGGCCATCGTCATCTGGCGTTGCGACGCGGCCGCGGCCGCAAACAGCCAGAAGTTGTCGGCGTAGAGAAGTCCCGCTCCGCACAACGTCGCCTCGCCTGGAAACTCGCAGCCCCGGCCGCGCGCCCAGCATTCGCCCGGGAACTCCTCCCAGGCATCCCCCAGCACGAGATTGCAGAGGATCGCGCTGGCTGGATCTCCTTGTCGAATGCCGCGGGTCCGAGGTGCTGGTTGCGTCTGTATCGAGCCCACCTTGATCACTGCCGAGGCCTTCAATTCCCTCATGATGGCTAGGACCACGAGCCTTGACACGGCCCTTCTTCTCAGTGTCTCCTCGACCGCGCGGTGCGAGACGCGGTCGAATGCCGCCTCGACGTCGCCGCCCATGATGAAGATGGGTCTGTT